GGGGAACATAATACTAGGATTTCAACCTTCCAGCTTCTCAGATTCCTCATCCAAGTCGGTGTTGACGCACTCAAATCATCCCCAGTTAAGCGTGGTAGCCGCGTAAGAGCCCACCAAATTTTTTCTCGGCGAGTTCATAACTCGGGAATTTGAGAGGCTAGAACGCTCAAATCCTAGGGTTGTTTTCCCCATCCTAGTCGGTGTTGATGCACTGAATTTCATACCCCGCCTAAGCGTGATAGCTGCGTACAGACCCGCCGGATTTTTTTTCGGTGAGTTCATAACTCGGGAATTTGATAACCTAGAACGCCCAAATCTTTGCAGGATGAACCCCATCCATGTCGGTGTTGACGCACTGCAAATCATCCGCCAGATAAGCGAGATAGCCGCGTACAGGTTCGCCAATTATTTTTATCGATGAGTTCATAACTCGGGAGTTTGAGAAGCTAGAACACTCAAGTCTTATGAGGATGTTCCCCATCGAAGTCGGCGTTGACGTACTGAAAATCATCTCCTAGATAAGCGAGGAAGCCGCGCCCGGGTGCGCCAATCTTTCTCCTCGGTGAATTCATAAACCAGGGATTTGAGATGTTCGAACACTCAAATCTTAGGAGGATGTTCCCCATCCAAGTCGGCATTGACGCACTGACGATCATCTCCCAGTTAAGCGTGGTAGCCGCGTAAGAGACCGCCAAATTTTTTCTCGGTGAGTTCATAACTCGGCAGTTTGAGAAGCTAGAATGCTCAAATCCCCGGGTTATGTTCCCCATGCTAGTCGGTGTTGATGCACTGAATCCCACAGCCCAGGTAAGCGTAATAGCCGCGTACGGGCACGTCAAATTTTATTTCGTTGAGTTCATAACTCAAAAATTTGGGTAGCTAGAACAATCAAATCTTACAGTGATGTTCCCCATCCGAGTTGGTGTTGATGAACTGAACCCCGTCCCCCAGATAAGCGTGGTAGCCGCGTGCGGGCCCCACATATTATTTTTTCTTTGAGTTCGTAACTCGTGAATTTGAGAAGCTAGAACGCTTAGCGCATAATCATTGGTGCTGGCAGTTGAAAAGAAAAAGACGTGGAATTGTCAAATTTCCTACTGAT